TCTTTCACCAGAACGTACTTCAGCAACTCCGGATCACGAATCAACAGACTCGGCTTACCGAACGGGAAGATCCCCACAGATGGCTTGTCACTGTGTTTCTCATACAAATTCTTAAGATGGTTCCCAATAGTCACTTTCAGCAAGACACATTCTTTGAGATTGTCTACAAATGGCAAGGGTTTTGCGTAAGGGATACCGAGATTCCTCCAGAAGTTGAAATTGCGAGTGAAGTAAACATAAAGCCAACACAAAGGGCAGAAACTATTGTCAGAATGAGTGTTGCCCACTCTAACAACAATGCCATTGTTCTGTGGAATGAGAAGAATATATCGCAATAATATTACAGATGTTATTAAGAATTTTTATACAGACTTAATCTGTACTTTTTAACGTCCATATTCAATTCATATTTGGAACACTGTATCTCAAGTACTTTCTAGTTGACGCACGAAGTTGGATAGGTCATGGTCTGGAAAAGTATTCGAGTTTTTAGTTATTCAGCCTTGCATACCAGGATGCTCCATTTATCGGATTGCTACCAAAAGTGTGTCCACCTTTCGGCTTTAGAAGCTGCAATATCACTGCCAGTTTACGTAGTCTCAGTGTCGGCGCAAGCAGACTTGTCGTCCTTGAGGGGCATACAGCCGACCCGGAAATACAGGTTACAGTATGATTTTTCCTTTCTTTATTATTTATTAAATGAGAGGTGACAGAGATAGGGAGAGAAGGTTGTGACTCCACGGAAGAATGACCGATTGGCTATTACTACACCGGTATTCCGAGGATACCTGTCGGCCAATATGTATTTTCGTGCCTTTCTTTTTGTGGCGTTGCAGGATCATCCTACTAGAACAGATACAAGAAACAATAGGATTCTGCAATTGGTCATATATGCTTCGCAGAATTAGGGAGATCGAGTCGAGTTGCGAACTAATATTCTTATTATCCACGGCCTAGCATAGGACGTCGTTACGTTGTCTGTTTCGCGGCTGTTGCCTAGAAACGAGGGTTGTTTCAGACAGGTTCGCTAGCAACGCATGTTTCTCTGGATCCACAGTTCTTTGAGCAAATACGTCACAATAGCTTTGCCATAATAAGTATGAAGGAGTAAACATTTTTAAGGAAAAGCCTTTTCTTAGTATCTTATCTTCAACAAAACAAGTGGATTGATATTTCGTTGGCCACAGTTGGCACACCGTTGTTCTTCATTCTGTGTGTTGTTCAGGCTGTATTCTGAATCCTCCATTTGACCTTTAAAGTCTGCTATAAGGTTTTAATGACTCTATGACAGCAATAAGAGACAAGCGTTATTCTTTCATAGGATATCTGTAAAATAAATAGCCTGTAATGACCAGTTTTCTTGTGCGATGCCCGCTCCCCTGTCACAATTCAGCATCTTTATATGTTTTTTGTGATGATAGCAGTTGGCTTCATGCAACTTCTCACGCCCTTCTGGATTGAGAATTATAAGTAGAGAAGGACATTTGCTGAAATTAGGCTCATAAGATTATAACTCTTTATGCATGTGTTCCGTTTCGACTACTGAATCGGCTGACTAGATTAAGGTGCTTTGACATGAATGTCATTGGAGACCATTACAGGTTCGTAGCATCTGATTTCCGGCTGGCAGTGATAACAAAATGGCAGATCTATGGATGTTAGGTTAGATGGGAACAACACGAGCTGCCCTTGGTGTGCCTGGTACTCCCGAAGGGCTGCACGAAACGGCAGCAGAGGAAATTTCCTCGTGGTAACTTTTATCTTTTTGCAGAAGGTTAAGCAACAGCACGGTGGCCTTGTGGAAATTTATGTAGCTTTGAATTTGTCTCCGATGACTAATGTACAACTGCAACTGGAAATATGGAAATTTATAAGTGTAAATATTAAAACAGTTCCCGCAAATTTAGTGTCAATTATACTGTATATATATATATATATATAAGCGGACAAGTACAAGCATTGAGACCGGTGGGAATCTTTGAGTTTATATTCGATAAGTGTCCATAATAATAATAATAATTCTAAAAATGTAAAAAAATGAATATTAAAATGTTAGGTATAGCAGGGTAATTTACGTCATTGAAGTTTATACAATAATAACAAAAATATCACGTGATTGATCATAGACGTGTTTTGATTGACTCGGATTTATTGGACCATTTGATGTAAACGCATGACTACACTTTACATTTCACTATTACACACAGACTAGTGTTCTCAGTGACCGTTGCTTGGCAGAGGCTTCTATCTGCGGATGTTCCCTTTCCACAGTGTTCCAGAACGGTCTCTGGCCCCAGCTATCAGCTTCTAACAACAACTCACACCAACTGAGCCCCAGCAGTCACCTAACTGGCAAATTCACCAACAAACTCAACTCCTACCTTGTTCTTCTTATAACATCTCGGTACGGACAGCGCAGGAAACACCGTTTTTCTGATGATGTTTACGGCTGCTGCCTAGTAACGGCCGTTGTTTACAGAGCAATTACTAAACAACAGCCGTTGTACAGTTGCCTATCTCATGGCCGCTGCCAAACGACTCTACATGAGACATTAATGAGAATTCAATTCCAATTCAGTTCTTCACTTAAATGCATGCCAGCAGAGACTGGCTTATAACAGGCGAGAACCAAAAATGTACGTAATAATAGCCAGTCTGAGGTTAAGATGGAACTAGACTAAAATTTAATCTTAGTCTATAAAGTAATACAAATAACACGATAGTGACGTAGCTCAGTAGCACTAAGCAAAGAAAAATCTATCCTCAAGGGAGATGTTGTGCTTACTGAAAATTTTCAGAGATTTGCAGATAAAAATAATAGTAATGATAATAATGAGGATGATGATAATTATAGTAATAATAATTTGAGTTCAATTTTATATTTATATAGATTTTGATTTCAAAAGCTGGGAGTAATTACAGAGGCAGTACGAATAAAACACACAAACACACGAAGACAAAAATAATCAATAAAGAAGAAAAGGATAAATTTATTAATTAATTTGAATTTAAGCGTAACAATTTCCAAAATTACATATGGACTTATAAATCCTATCAGTAGCAGAAGCACGTCCAGCTGAAGGAGATTGGCTCAAGGATATAGAACTTAAACAAATACGAGTACTGATTTGAAAAATGCTTTCTTTTCTCAACATAATATCCTTGTACACTGAGGCACTTGTCCCATCGTTTCACAAGCCCCTGAAAACCAGCAGCACAAAATTCTTTGGGCTGCTGTCGGAACCAGGCGTGTTCACACGGCATGACCTACCTCAACATGCATTACTGGTTGCATGATTCCGTTGAATGGCCTTACGAAGTATCCTGAGGATGTTACAGTAAGAGTCGGCATTTACGGTTTGTCCTTGAGGCTGGAATGCGGTGAGCAGAATGCCTTCGTGACCCAGAAGACTGTGGGCCTCACTTTCCAGGAGAATTGTGTCACCGTAAACTTTCTTTGGCAGGCGACGCAGAATGTTTCCACTGCATTGACGCACGCTTTGTCTCGGGCTGGTAGTGGTGAACCCAAGACTCATCAACTGTGACAATTCGGTCTAGCATACCGTGTCCTTCATCATGGTAGCGATTGAGATGCTGTAATGCCAGACCCATTCTTTGCATTTTGTATTGTGGGGTCAGTATGCGCGGCACCCATCGTACACAGACTTTGTGAAAACCTAACCTGTCATGCATTGTGAGCTAGGTCATGCTGTGTGAACACGCCTGGTTCCGACAGCAGCTCAAATAATTTTATGCTGCTGGTTTTCAGGGGCTTGTGAAACGAAGGACAAGTGCCTCAATGTACAGGCAGATTGTGTTCAGAAATAAAATCATTTTTCAAATCAGTACTCCTCTATAGCAGATGCTTTCAAGTATAATAATTTAATGTATTTTATATTTTTATAACGTATAATCTCACGCTAATTATGGGTTAGTTGTGTATATATCTCTATCTGTCGCCCGTCAGCAAGTGTCTCAGTGTATTTATAGAGCTCTGATAGGTTAAACCGTTACTAAGCTGAACTGGCCACTTGCGTAGTGGATTATATTTGCCTGTAACGATTGAACTATACTCTAGGGCATATGCACTTCATTCTTTACTTGTTCAAATTTGTTCAGAATAAAAGCGTAGGCAATAATGATAAGCCAGAGAATTATTCATTGAACAAACAATTATATTTATATTGCAGACAATGTGGGAGTAAATCTTGATTCTCGGCTTCTGTATTGTGTATATTTACCTACTCCTGAATACAATAAAAGTGATTTATGGTATGAGAGACGTAACATATTCTATGTTGAGCAGGACTTCTCTCTGCAGAGAGATATTTTTCTACAATTAAGGGACAATCGCCCTCATATTGAACACTGACTCCAGAATCAATTTAAGTGTCTCTAGTCTCCACCAGATTCGAAGTACATTTGTTTATAGTTCAGTTGTGTTGAGTGACATATTGTGCATTGTTACTCGCTCTCTGCAGCCACCCCAGAAATACCAGCCTCCGGGATCCCGGCAGTCCCGTCAGGGTCTGGAGGTCTTTCCTCAGAGAAGCAGGTTGCTTCGGTGACCTGAATGGGGTACACACTACGGGAATGCTGAATCACTACACTAATTGAATGCGATGAATTCGGTATAATTCGGTGTGTCCATATTTCTGTCTTCAGATCTAGAAAACTGAGATTAACGGCCGTGGAGAACCGTTGCGTTGACAACGTGACACCCTCTATCCGCTAAATTTGGCACAAACTTCGCCGACAAGCGGAGGTCGCTCGGTCGGTATAGTTCGGTTGCGGACTATAGGAAGTGATTGTTTTGTCCGTTTCGTGTATGGAGTAGTGAGTGTTGAGTGAGATGTAGTGTCTTATGTTGAGGAACAATTCAAGGCACAAAAGGGAACTATTTTTACTACACGCATTGGATTTGAAACAGAAGCCCACATTCCTGGGCTTCTGTATCTTGTGCGAGGGACTGGGCTGTAATTTCAAAGAATCTGAGACTCTATATTTAACTCCAACAGCATGTCTCTGTGGTTATGCTTTATTCCCATATACTCATATAAGGAAGAGCTGTAGGAGTATATGTGCATGTATAAATAAAACTTACTAGCTCTACTGAAAACTTAATATTAGAATACCCCTATAAAAGGAAGTAGGTTCCAAGTTAACTTAAGCAGATTTCTGTGCAACCATACCCAGTCACAGAAATACGTAAAGAAAATTAAGAAGTAACAGAATATCATAATTATCTTGTTTAGATATCATATATATTATAGACATTAAGGGGAATAACATACAAATATCCGTGCAATCAGATGGGAATCCTTTTGAAAGACAACGGTATCTCTCCATCCATCGACAATATGAAGGACTTCCTATCATAAACAACAGTCAGGGGCGTGTCTTTGCAGGGCGCCACCTCGAAGCGGGACAGTATGTGGCTCAGTCCAACCTTGACCTGCATCAAACCGAACCTCATCCCTGTGAAAAGAAACAGTAGCTTGGGTAGCAAGAAAATATTAAGTAACAGTGGAAGGATTGATAAATATAATAACAAAAATTTATTACTGCATAAACTTCTACATTATGTTCTCATGCTTGTAATTTCCTAAAGTAGGCTCTGAATGTTTAAGTGCAAATTGTGAATAGCGCAGTATCCTACATTACAGAAAGTAGGACTTGTGAGAGTTGCGTATTGTCTCAGTTTGTGGGCTGAAGAGTAAACAAGCAAGAGATCAAGTACCCAGCAGGCCTTCCCGTACTCTTCTGTACTCACGCCGTAAGAACTTCTGGGCTATCACAATGTGTTTACAACAATGAAGAGCCAATAACAATACTGTGCAACGCAAAGATTCAGTAACATTTTGTCTTAAGAAAATCTGATTCTAGATAGTAGTATCTTCTGTGCCCAATAATTCTGTACTTTCAAAACCAATCCTGACTATGCACTTGTTCTTACCGATGCAAATTCTGGGACCTTCCCCAAATGGGAGATATGTGTAGTTCGGCCGATTCTGTTTATTTTCCTCTGTGAAACGTTCCGGGTCGAATTTGTCTGGATCTGGGTAGTACTGCGGGTCATAATGCAAAGCGAATACCGGGATGAAAACCCCGGTCCCTTTCGGAAGTAATACAGTTCCATTCCCGGAAGTGGAAGGAAGAGTGTAGTCACTGCCGCACATCCGGTCCAGAAATGGGAGAACCGGGTACTTCCTCAGTGTCTCTGTGAACATACGAATAGAGCAGAGTGCGGTGATATAGACGGGAACAGCGGCCAGAAATGGGAGAACCGGGTACTTCCTCAGTGTCTCTGTGAACATACGAATAGAGCAGAGTGCAGTGATATAGACGGGAACAGCGGCCAGAAATGGGAGAACCGGGTACTCCCTCAGTGTCTCTGTGAACATACGTGTAGAGCAGAGTGCAGTGATATAGACGGGAACAGCGGCCACAGAAGGGAGAACCGGGTACTTCCTCAGTGTCTCTGTGAACATACGTGTAGAGCAGAGTGCAGTGATATAGACGGGAAGAGAGGCCAGAAATGGGAGAACCGGGTACTTCCTCAGTGCCTCTGTGAACATACGCGTAGAGCAGAGTGCAGTGATACAGACGGGAACAGCGGCCAGCATTTCGAGGCATAACAAATGACAGACAACTTATCAATTCATTTTGCTTATTAAACACATAACGAGGGATATACCTATAGGTGTAGTTGTTTACTAAATATGGGTTTGTCCGTATATTTAAATAATTTCTTGTTTGAATCAGAAACTGAGTTACGTTGTGTGTTCAGTGACTGCGAGTAATAAACACATTACTTTGAGAGCATTATACACGTATGGTCAAGAGATGCCAGTATTTCAACATGTAACAAGGCGCATGCGCAGTCGTAGATAGTTTCTCCCAACTCAGGATAGAAGAGAGAACAGAATAAATGCTGGAATTTGAACTTTATTCTGCAGCTACTGTTAATTCGGCATATACCGCAAGCTTGAAGGATACTGATGTTCCAACAGTGGATACATCGCTTACTCAGTATGCATTTGTAATTCAAAACAAACGGAAGGAGATCTGTTCTAACATTTTACTTTTTTTTTGTCTACGACAACGAGTGGAGTGAGAGATTAAAATATTGCCTAGATAATTATCATTCCCATGCAGGGCAGTGTTCGTACTCTAGATAGGTGCTAGGCAACGGTTCGGTTAACATATTCCCGCTGAAACGAATACGCAAGTACCAATAGACGAACCCGTTTCTAAGCAACGAATTGGAAAACACAACAATAAGGGTGTTTTTGGAAACAGTGTTTTCTGTGGAAGCCGCCCCGAGTGTATGAGGATCTCAGGCAGCTGAGTGATAGAACTGAGGGAGTTTCTTGAGGCGGCAGTCAACGTTGACCGAGATTAGAAGACAGAGTTTGTTATATATATTCAATAAGTACTGGTTCGTGAATGAATTATTCTCTTCGTGTAACTCATAAACCATTCTTTGCTCACTTAGGTATCATTTAATTTTTATACTGGAATTTTACTACCTATAATTTTTTCCTGTGGTTCTATATGGGTGTGAAACTTGGTCTCTGACATTAACGGGGGAACATAGAATGAGGGTGTTTGAGAACAGGGTGTTGAGGTGAATATTTGCACCGAAGAAGGATGAAGTTACAGGAGGATGGTGAAAACTGCTAAATGAGGAGCTTCATAACTTGTACTCTTCTCCTAGTATAATTAAAATGATCAAGTAAAGGAGGATGAACTGGGCAGGTCATGTAGCACGAATGGGCAGAAGAGGAGTGCAAATAGGATATTGGTGGGAAAGCCAGAAGGAGAAGTACCACTGGGAAGACCAAGGCGTAGGTGGGTGGAGGATAATAAAATGGATCTTAGAGAGGTAGGATGGGATGGTATCGATTAGATTGATCTGGCTTAGGATAGGGACCAGTGGAGGGCCCTTATGAAAACGGTAATTAACCTTTGGGTTCCACAAAATCTTGGGAAATTCATGAGTAGCTTCAGAATTGGCGGCTCCTCCAAAAGGGCTCAGCTCCATTAGCAAGTAAGTAAGTATTGGAATTTTACTCAGTCTGTCTGGTAGAGTTAGGACAGCGTATCTTTTGAGTCTATTTGTAGTTTCGCTATTTTCTCGTAAGCTCACTGCTAATGCACTAGTGTGGTTTCCTAAGTTTCTTAAGCATTCGGTGTTCCGCTTTTATGTTTCACTGAGCCCTGTGTTCATTTGTAGAGCTTCATGGATCCTGTGGTTATTTATCTACCAAGATTAGTGCAGAATTGATCGGAGAGTTTTGGATTGAAAGCGCTGGAGGATTTCAATGTCCCTCATAGCTGAATTGAATTCCGTAAGTCCATATGGTGTTGAGAACTGTTTTGTATAGGAGGGGTTTGCTTTCTATTGATAGTGTTGATCTTCCGAGTAGCCCGTTCATTTGTTTCCCTTTAGTAGGTTTAGTTTTTTTGTTTGATGTGCTTTCCCACGTCAGTTTTCTATCGAGATGCATGTCCAGGTATTTCACTTCATTTTTCTGGGGTAGATCAATGTTGCCCATTTGCACTGTAGGACAAATTTAATTGCTTAGGGTGAATTTTCTATGATTTATTTTAATTCTCCATTTCTTCACCAAATCGTCGATCTTATTCATAGTGACTTGACGTTTCATTGATGCTATAGCTGGGTCTTCATAAGTGACTAAGATCCCTGTATCATCGGCGAAGGTAGCAGTTTTGTTGCCTCATGTCGGGAGGTCCCTCGTGTAGATAAGATGCAGGACAGGTCCAAAGAAAATTCCTTGCGGTACGCCCGCTTCAGTTTTTTAAGATTGTAATTTTGGCTTAGAATTTTACTTGCAAGAGTCTCCCGTTAGATATGACTCTAATATTCTGTAATATGAATGGGAAAAGTTATTCTGATTTCGAACACGAGGCCCGGGTGCCATACTTTATCAACCTCTTGTGTGACGTCTAGGAACGCCACAGAGCAGTACTGCTTCTTTCTTTCTTTCTTTCTAAAGTTCCTCTTATTATCTCTGCAATTCGGTGTACTTGTTCTGTGTTAGAGGGTTTCTGTCGAAGCCCAACTGATGCTCCTGAAGAATTTGGGTTTCCATTATCATCCGATGTAATTTCATGAGCATATCTTTTTCGAAGTCTTTGTTCATTATTGGTAATACGCTCATCGTTCTTTGTAAGTTGGATTCCCCTAGCGGTTTCCAGGTTTCGGAATCATGGTGATCTGTGCGACTATCCATTGAACTGGGAAATATCCCGGTCTAATAATTGTGTATAGTTCTTAGATATAGAAAGCTTTTCCTTGGTTTTTCTTTCAATATTCCCCCTTTAATTAGGTCATATCCAGGGACTCTCCTTGGGTTGAGGTCTTCTTGTAATGTGTTCTTGATTGAATTGAATTTGAAGTGTAGTAACAAATTGTATAAGGGTGCAATAAATCCCGTCATCAATCCAAAACCCGTCTATAAGTCACGCACACACATGTCACGTGACATTGTTGTGTGTGACAAATACGTGTATTTAGCAAAGTTTGTCAGAATCGTAATCAAGAGAACTCTGAACCAAGACCTCTGCGCTTGACCAATAGCACATGACACACGGGTACAAGGACTGAAGTTCAGAAGGCAGTAAAACCTGCTAGCCGTTGTTGACACTGAAACATTCCATAGGGCGGGTAACTTCGCTGAATCAAATTAGTAAAACCAAAAAATCGACGGTTCAGTCTAACTGAGTTGGTAGTCAAGGTCATTCTAGTCCGCAGCTTACAGAGAACAGTTAATAAAACCTTCCCTCCCTGGAACTCTTGTACCCAGACGTCAGAATTCCACAGTTGTATTCACCCATCTGGTAAATAAACGTTCTGGTTGAGTACATCTCTTGCACTAGCTTACTACAATATTCACCGTCACCCCGGAACACGCAGTTTTCCACCCCCACCCCCCGCGAAAGTCGGTCGGTTTATGTGGTGGCAACTTCAGCCATACTCCGTCAGTCATCGAGTGTGGAATTCAGGACACAAAAAACAAACTCCGTGTTCTGTAGTCCGCAAGCGAACTATACCGACCGAGCGACCGCCGTTTGCCTGCGAAGTTAGTGCCAACTTTTCAAATATAGAGTTGCACGTGACCAGCGCAACAGATCCCCACTGCAGATAATCTTTGTTTTCTAGACCGAAGCCGCTCTTTCCTTCAATTAGCTCCTTAATTTTCTTCACGAGGCTGAGTGCATCCCGTTCCAGACCCACTATTTCTCAGAAAATCTGGTAGCGCCGGGAATCTAACCCCGGAACTCTGGAACTGTGGGCAGGAACTCTGTCCACTAGACCACAGAGGCGGCCATTCGGGATACAACACTTCATAATTTTACATTCTACTATGTAACCTTTTAATACTTGGTGAACTTAGAATCCTGTGCATTATCACTTGACCCCAGCAATTTGACATGCTAGGGGAATGAAGTCGGCATTTTTATTAGTATAGGAATCAACGTTTTCATAATTCAACTGTTCTTTTTAATGCATGAGACTCTTATTTTACATGACAAGTAATCATATTACTGTTTATGTAACCTTGTACATGACGGTGGAAGATAAGTTCTATGACTTGCATAAGGGATTTTTCTAAACTTATTATGTGACGTAAGACTTTGTTACGTAAATTCTTAAATAAATTTCATAATGTATTTACCGTGTGCAATGATAATGCAGAATAAAACCTTACTTCTTTTTGTTTATTTTGGACTTCATCAATCGTCTGGTATGTAAAAGACAAAGGACCACGACGTTTCGGAGAGTGTCACTGTCTCCGTCTTCAGGTGGGTGCGGAAGGAAAAACCTACTCAGTTGGGCCCGTTAAAAAGAGCTAGTCTCAATCACTGGATCACGGAGACAGAGCCAGTCTCCGAAACGTCGTGTTCTATTGTATTTCACGTACTAGACGATGGATGAAGTCCAAAATAAGCCAAAAGAAGTACAGTATACACCATCATCTGAATCCTTTCAAGTCTAAGAAAAACATTGATTTATTTTACCGTTATACTAACTGTCCGAACGCACCTAATGATAACATTACATGTCGGACCATATCTGGTTACTAACTGAATTAAATTAACCAAATACCAGATTTCAGGTTTAAATTGACAGTGGCTTGATAATTTTTAAATTAATGTGTAAAAGTTAACTGAATGGCTAACTAAGTAGCCCACTACTATACTCTTGTGAAGTATAATTCTGCATGGTTAGAATTTACTGATAGCCGATGGCTTTGCTTGTTACCCATAAATATCCAAGATATTTTGCATTCTTCTACTTATAAATATTGTCACGTGTCACAGTGACTAAAGACGGGGTTCGGAGTGGTAACTGCATGTATTAACAACCTACAGGCTCTAAATACAAATAATTATAAGATTGTTACTAATTTTTACACTAAATAGCACTCCAAGCTAATCTCTTCCGTTTATCTGCACTAGTTTTGACAGATTTATTTCTTGGAAACTATAAAATTCTTCCTAAATCACACACTCCCAATACCATTGCACTACAGCACACATGCAGTCTTCAAATCGCAAGTTAAATCTTCACAGGCTGACTTATTGTACTTTTCTGTATTCCTCAAGCTTACTGCTATTCTTTTGTTCCCGTGCATCTGTCGCTACTACTACCCGTAACTGCTCTGAACCCCCTGGACTCGTAGTTATATAGTTGCGGAACGTACATGCATCACAGGAAACACGTATCACGTGATCACTATCCAGCCAGTCTATTGGCACTTCGTTCGGATCTACATTAATCACAGCTCCCTCTATTGTTACTTGATGTACCGTGTTTACAGAGCTGATACCAGGCAACGCGTTGATTATATCCGTTACAATACATATTCAAACTTACACTAAAACTCCTTTTTATGTTGCAAAATAATATCGAATCTGAAATTCTTTGTAAAATTTATGTCGCTGTGCAACACCAGTGCTACAGGACAATAGTGAAATAATTTCTGGAACACTACAGAAACTTAGACAAGTTCACTTTGTAAGTAGATGAAGATCACATCCCTTGGCCTGGATGCGTTTGTAGGTTTCCGAAGATTGACACAAACGTCTTAGTTCCTGCTTCATGCTCCTACATTGGCCGCGAAATACGAAAATTCGTGGCTGTTCTTATATAGTCTTACACACACATACACACACACACACATAAATAAATAAATAAATAAATAAATATATATATATATATATATACAACACGTGGTAGAGTCATTAAGGTTGTGGAATGTGGTTTTATCGCATCATATTACAAAGTATTCACATACACTTACGCACAACCATATCCGCCCTCAAAATAGTTGCCGTTGGCCGCTATGCAAGTCTGCAAACATTGATACAGCTGTCGAAAACATTGCTGGAACATATTCCCGTACGACGCTTTGCGGCTATTCCACGAACTATTCCTTTAGCAGGCCGTGGAGGTCCGTAGGTTGTGAGAAGTCGAGGCTCCAACATTTCTCACAAAATCGGCTGACAGATGACGGTGAAGTTTTCAGTTTTTTAGAATGCCTGACTGTAGACGAGATTAAAAGAACAGTAATTCCGAATATTCAAAGTCATTTAAACATTAAAATACCCACAGATAACATCCTCATGATGTGATCTTAACAGTAACCTAGCAAATTGCTTTGGTTCCATATTGGTTACAGTTCCTGGATTTCATGAAACACTGATAAAGACAAGGACATAAGCACCAGTAACTTGGACGGACTTCTTTCATTGATAACCCTCAGAATCAGATGTGAGCTACCTGAGTCCCCTCACCTGAGACCACCATGTCGAGGTAGGACATCTCCTGCATCCCTTCATACGTAAGCTCGCCCTGGTGTTTAGCCATTACCCTGGTGATCTCCTCTCTCAGTCTGTGCTGTATGTCTGGATGCAGTGCAAGCTCGTACAGAGCGAAACTCATTGTGGTACCGGACGTTTCGAAACCTCCCGCTAGAATTTGAAAGGCCTGCGCCACAAATTCATCGTCGTCTAATTCTGAAACAGAAAATTTCTCTAGTCATATCGAGTGTTTCAACTCTTTCAGTAATTGTTAAAGTTGAGTATGGAGACATCCACTAAACTTTGTTCAGCAATTCAGATTTTCAGCCATACGGGGGCAAAAATAAGCCATCTTCAAATAAGGCAACGAGTTGGCTCTCCTACCTTTCCATGTAAATCTTCGTAAGTTCTTTGTTTAAATTCATCATGGGAAATTTTCATCAAACGATCTCGGACAACTCAATTTCTCAACAACATCAATACTACATAGTGTCAAATGCACGTAGGAGCCAGTTTACATTTACTGAGCCGATTTAGACCTGAATCATCTTACACCATATACGTATTTCAGTGGTTTGAATAACAACCACTTGCCTATCAAACCAAAAGTATATAAACTTCAAGTTAATATAAATATTGTCAGGTGTTGGGTATATCACGCACAAATAACTTCACGCCGTCGAGGATGTAGCGAATATTTATTGTGTTTCGCTTCTACACTCACACACTTTACAAGTATTATCACTTGCAGTATCACAATTACTGCTTCCACTATATCTCGGCCAATACTAGACTGCCTTCAACGGCGACCCTCTTCTGGCCCAATAGTTGTCTACCCGACTCTCTCGTTCATACGCGTCTATCTAGCCCTGTTTGCGACTCTCTTATATGGGAGCTATGCGGACCGGGTACCAGACACCATTCCTTGCAGTTCCGTTCCTGCTCTTTTGACAGTCCGTTGTTGCGCAACGACCCTTATATTGTCCATCTCGGGGAAAACGCGTTCGTTGTTTCGGCATTCATTACCCAACGGCCCGTTGTAATTGCGTTACCCTGGAAGTACCTATTCCAAACACGTTACAATATGTTACTTTGAGAATTTTTTGAATAATACATGGACAACGACTGGCCTTGTTCCAGATACAATTCCTCGATTTGATTTCAGACATTTCCTTGGATTTACCCCTCTCATTTTATGAAAGTGATATTGAACTTACGAAATTTGGAGTCAATTCTTGGATTCTCTGCAGATACCGTGGCATCTTGAACAGTTTTCTTCCCATTAGTTCTCAGCTCGTTAATCCAATGGAGGATATCTTTCCGTATCAGCCCGGTCTTCTCCCTGAATGAAAATATAAGTAACAGCAACAATCTCTGATATTCCAGCAGATTGTTTCAATCAAATATTATTGTTTTATAATAAATATAGTATTTAAATTTTTCAAAAGAATTCAGCCTTTAATCGCAATAAATTATAATGATTTTCATTCAGCAAGTTTTTCAAAATAAAATATTTAGAATTTAATACTCGCCAAATAAAACGTTGAAATAAAATATTAACCTCCAATATACTAATTATGCAATTACTCGTAGATAGTTAACTAGCCCTTAAAAGTCCGATTGAAAAGATCTTCCGAAACGTCGGTGAAAATATAAATCTTCGGTGCTCACCATCTACAAGTAGAATTGACATTATGTGATTTAAGGAGGCTGTACATGTCTCCGAGACTTCCAGCACCTTCTATTAGACAACAACATTTCCTTACTCAGAGGCCTGGGAGGAATTTCTACCTGCAGCAATAGACAGACATGAAGAGTGATCCTTTCTATGAACAAGCATTGGCAGAAGTAAGGAATGGAAATAAATCCAGTGGTTGTTTATTCACAGTTTTATTAATGCAACTTTTGTAGAGTTTATTTGGCTGTGTTGATATCGTCGGACTGCCATATTCCGCTGACTTTTCTCACTATTCACAAAACAATTTCGACTTCACAAGACCCAAATTTACGCGTTGTATCAGCTATATCAAGGATATTACAATCATTGCTTCCATCAATAAGGACTTAATACAATGTCACGACTTAATAACACAATATACTCGTATACACTCGTATACTCTATGACGTGTAGACACATTGCTACGCAACGGAACGGTAAGCATAATACATGTACACGAGCGCAAGCAACAGTATGATATCCATTGCTAGCTAATGCGTCCTTAATGCATTGATATTTTCCGTGGTGTCCGTGCCGAGGGGTTATGAACGAAGTTCTTAGGTTCCACGGCCAAGTCTCATTCCACCAGCTGCTCCATACCCATCATCTATAGACCGGGTTTGGTACAAATGCCAGTTAGTGGCCGAAGTACCATGTGGACTCTTTCTCACCCCACCCGAAGAAACAAGCATGAAAATTCAGAAAAATTCGGTGAACTAATCTCAGTTTGGCCCCCATGAATTCCGCCGAAAGGTGAAACTTTCTTCAACGTGCAGTTCGTTACATACAAGAATACCGTAACAATTTTCGTCGCCGCTCCGAGGAACGTAATATCTTTTGCAATTCCACGTGGTGTCTTGCAATTTGTTACTGCTGTAGAGGGGAAAAGATCGACGTAGGTCCTCACCTGTATTCCACAGTACTCCAGATCAGTTTCCTGATGTAATCAGCTGTGGAGTTGTCCAGAAGCTTCAACCTTAATATGGACTTAAGAGAAGGCGCAAAGAACGCAAGCAGATTTGTCAAACCTTTCCGAACTGTGAAGTCGAATACCTCCCGCAGGTGATCCCTAAACTCTGAATAAGGATTCTTCAGGGTGTTGCTTTGGATCCCGAAGGCACAGGATGCTATCACGTCAGTCGTGTACCTGGTCATCGTCTCCTTCACTTGCACAGGGGAACCTGTTGACAGACCGTGTTACTTAAGCTGATGCTGTGTTTCTCTTAGGGGCTTAAGGAATGTACGCGTATTTTTTAATATGCAGAGTACAACAGAAGAATATGGACATGCTTTGAGTACGTGTTGCAAGTAACAAAACAAGAAAAATGTCCGTATCAACATGTGTCTGGAAAAATTTCATTCATGAGTCATAAGCGAGAGATTACACTAATACTAAGTGCTCCGAATGCCCTCCATAAAATTCAGTGAACACCTGGACACGTCTCATCTTGGACCGCCGCATCCGCTCAGTCTGACAGGCATCCACAGCGCAGTGGTGTAGTGCCTGTTCGCTGTCAACAGGAGCTGCATACGCAAGGATGTTTAGGTGTTTACACAGGTAAGAATCCAGAGGATTGAATTCAGACGATAGTGGAGGCCACGGAATGGGTTCCCTCCCTACATTTCAATCTGTCATGATAAGTATTACTGAGAACATGTTGCGCAGCAAGGATAAAATGTGCCGGAGCGCCATCATGCAGGTACCATATTCATGTTCTGACTGCCATTGGTACATCTTCCAGTAGACTTGGCAGATATTATAAGGAAAATTGTCGGTAGTGGTTACCTGTAAGCCAAGAGAACACCAATAATCTATGCCCACACATTAATGCTGAACTGTTGCGGGTGACCACACAGTATTCTTTTAGCTATAACTGGCAAATTAAATGTTTTCGGACTCATGTTGATGAACATTTGTTCTTATTTTGTCATGTGTAACTCATGTCTAAAATATGTCCGCATATTTCAGTTACATTCTGCATACATACATAGTGTGACGCATTGCGCTATGGAGGACATCCCCTCCCCCGCCGGCAGTGACGTGGCGGCATCGGAGCGCTATCGCTACTACGGTAAGAGGCCAGCCAACATTCCGTCACCACTCCCACGCGGTGACGTGGCATGGGATGTCGCGGTTACTGCACTGCAGGAAACAACCGTAGACAGCGTTGCCCAGCAACACCTTTAAACAGGCGACATGGCAACAGGGAAGCGGGGCGCTTTGCATTGTGTGGCTAATGGTTTATAAGAGAACTGCACTGCCTAAGGAGTCAGTTGAATTGTAACAGTCGCCGAGTTCAGTTGTAGCGAGCGAATCGTGAATGTGAAGAATACCGATAGTGTGAGAAGTTATTGGGAGTTTGTAATACAGTGACACTGGTATAGCTCCCGTGTTATAAATACGTGAAGACTACTGAGGACATAATGAAGTGATTAGTGTGTAGGGTTTGTAAATTGTGTAAACCCGTTACAGTGTTATAATTACTGGTAGCCAAGAATTGTAGGTTATTAAATAAACCAATTAACAATCCGAACGGCATCTTCAGTGGCAAAACACGTTACAATAATATAAAACAAAAATAGGGCACATACTTTCTATGATGTATTACTTTGTTTTAAAAACGAAATAGAACATATTGTACTACATATTGTGACATGTTGCGCAACGGAAGACCCCTCCCTCCTCAGTGGTACGTGGCGGCATTGTAGCGCTGTCGATACTACGGCAATAGGCGAGTCAACACCTCGCCCCTCTCCCCGCGGTGACGTAACACTCAACGCAGCTGTGACACGGGTAACAGTCAACAACGGTACCCATTGTGTAACAGGCGGGCGCTGCGACTATATAAGGGAACTACACATCCGCCGTAGTTAGTTAAATTGTATCAACAGCCGAAGACAGTTCTCCAATAAGCAGTGTTTGAGTTAAAAAGTGTATCAGCCGCCGAAGTGAGTTCTCAAGCCGCCGAAGTGAGTTCTCAAGTCAGCAGTGAACGAGTTCTCAAGACAGCAGCCTACGAGTTGAGTTGGAATTTGCAGCCGTCGCGGAAAGAAGAACCGGACGTGTGTGTAATTGTGTAATTGGAAGTGTGTGATACAGTGACACTTGTATAACTCCCGTATCGTAAATAATACGTGTAGACTACTGAGGACAGAGTGAGTTGATTATTGCGAATAAGGTTACAAAGTGTGAAACCCCGCAACAGTGTTGTAATTAATTGTAGCCGAGACTGGTAGGTTATTAAATAAACCAATTAACAATATGTATATGCTGTGACGATTAGCTTTCACGATACAATTCAACGTAAACTGGTACATGTTATCATACGATCAAACAGTCGGCGCCTCATGGTCTCAGTATGTGCTCGAAATGGCGTCCGTCCACTTCAAGGCCGACGACAATAATCCTCACGGCATTCTCATGAAAACGCCACAATATCTCAATGTCGAACTTTGTCGAAATCTCGCCACGTGATCATCCATAGTCCTGACAGGGACAACACTAACGTGCTGCTTCAAATATCATCTCAGGAAAGATTCAATCTGAGAAAGATACAGCAACATAGGAGATCGTACAGACAACCTTCAACGTCGAATCTTCCTTCCTGCATATGCCGCGTTCCACCACTGGCCGATACCTTTCACGTAGACCACTGCAACTCCGTCCCGCTGAAACAACAACCAAGGCTTTAGAGAATTTCTTTTTTGTTGATAGTGTGGTGGGACTAAGTCCCTTGTACTGCGGCCACTTCTGGCCTATTGTACCAGCCCCGGATGATAGATGAGGGTGATTGTGGAGCAATTGGTGTAATGAAGATTGGCAGGGGAAACTGAAGTACTCGGAGAAAACCTGCTCCAGCGTCACTTTGTCCACCACAAATCCCACTTGACCAGAGCCGGATCGAATCCGGGCCGCAGCGGTGGGAATCCAGCGACTAACTGCTTGAGCTATGGCGCCGCCCTTGAGATAGAGTTACGGCTGAACAGTTCATAGAAGTATGTTATCCTATTTGACGGTGGCGTGTATCTCTTTTTAAAAAGGAATTACAGTATAGGGAGATGTGCGCGAATCCTGTACACCATATATATACATACACACATACAGACAGACAAACCGGACGGATGGCGAAGGAGAAATTTATTTCAAATGCTAACTCTGGATGTGTCCATTTGACGTTTCGGCGGAAAGCTGACAGTTTTGACTTAGGATTGCATTTGTTTCCTCAGTTCGTCCAGGAGAATTCCAGGGCAGTCTCTCGAATTAATCAACAACCGCAACATTCTACGTCTTTCTCAAATAATATTTGCTGTCCTTCAAACTTTGGAAATTGTATAATCTCAGAAACTTGCATAATCGCTGAATAAACAATAAATACGCGAAACTGATGAATAACTTGACTAGGCGGGAGGGAAATCTAGTAAGCTTAATGGGTGCTGTTACCCGCAAGGCACTCACCTCGTGACTCTGACACATATCGAGAGCATCCCCACGTAGAAATATTTCGGGTGTCCTCTTCAGAAAGTTCTTTCAGTGGAAACATCGTCACGTTGAACTGAGTGAATGAATACCTGATACCCATTAAGGGAGATGTCTTTATATTCGGGAGTTGGAAAGACCTAACCAGGAGAGGAAGGCGGATGTTGAAAGGTTAGAATTTCTTTCACTGTGAGGAAACTAAATAATTTATTATGAATAGTCCGACTAACGTCAGTAGCTACTTGAAACTCGAAAAGACAAGTGAAGATTAATAGTGTGACATGTTGCGCAATGGAGGACAACTCCTCTCTACCCTGCAGTGACGTGGCGGATGAGTCAGAGCTCCCCCCCCCTCCACACTGTGACATGGCACGCAACGCCGCTGTCGACACGGCGTCAGCCAACAGTGGTACCGATTACGTAACAGGCAATCTCTGCGACTATATAAGGGAACTACACAGCCGCCGTAGTCAATTGAAATGTGGCCGTCGCCGAGTTCAGTTGCTGTTGTCAGTTGAAAATGTATCGGTGGCGAAAGACAGTTCTCCAGTCATCAGTGAACGAGTTCTCAAGGCAGCAGCCTACGGGTTGAGTTGGAAGTGAGTCAGCAGTCAGTCAGTTTGCGATAACAGTGTGTGATACAGTGACACTTGTATGGCTCCCGTACTGTGAATACGTGTAGACTACTGAGACTACTGAGGACAGAGGGAAGCGATTTGGTTGTAGGGTTATAAAGTGTGAAACCCCGCAAAAGTGTCATAATCAATTGTAGCCAATACTTGTAGGTTGTTAAATAAACCAATTAACAATCTGAACGACGTCTTCAGTAACGAAACATGTTACAATAGAAAGTGATTATGTTGGAATGTTAAAATAAAAGCAGATCTATATTAATTGGTATCTGAGAGATATAATTAAACGTTTAATTGAAATGAGGTAAAGGTAATGGCATCTTGTATTTGTGTAAGAAGTACATATCTGTTGATGTATGCGCGTTAGACGTCAAAATTTACTCCCTGAAGACCAACATGCGACTTAATTTTGTCAGTCTCCCTACTGATTTGTAAGTGCATATGTAATACAGACAACATTAGCATCTAATTTAGGGCACCAAAAGTAAATAAATCCCACCATTTCATAAGCGGAAACTTCAATATATTAATAATTAATGAAAAGTTTGCGACTCTTTCTAAATATTTCTAAAATTTAATCTCCCATGTTTCGGTTTTACACAGCAAAATTTTGTGCCTTAAACTCACCTTTAGCTGTTTCCTTGTCCAGGAGTTCAATGAGTTCCTTGCAGCCAAGGACCACCAAGTAGAACATGTTCTTCATTCTACCTGACGTAAATATCGGAGTCATATTTACTCTGACTTCTCGCCACCTTTGTCCTTTCAACACGAACAATGAGTTTCCAAACACGGGGTCCGATTTTACGTCAACTGACATTATGTGGTCTGCGAAAAACTTTGAATCCTTCACCAGAATATTCTTCAACAACTTCGGATCACGAACCAACAAACTCGGCTTATCGAAAGAGAAGATCCCCACATATGGCTTGTCACTGTGTTCGTCATACAAATTCTTAAGATGGTTCCCAATAGTCTCTTTCAGCAAGACACATTCTTTGAGATTGCCTACAAATGGCGATGGTTTTACGTAAGGAACACCTAGATTCTTCCAGAAGTTAAAATTTCGAGTGAAGTAAAAATAAAAGCCAATAAAAACGGCAGAAAAAATTGTCAGAACGAGTGTTGGCCACTCTAACAACAATGCCATTGTTTTTCAGAATCACTGGAATATATCCTAAATATATTACAGACGTTATTCAGAATTTCTGTGCACACATAATCTACGAGTTAAACTTCAGTATTCAATTAACTTGACGAAAACTCTCTCCTCAACTTCTTGTAAGCTGGCGGATGAAGTTGAACGGCTTGTGGTTCATAGATGCATTCAGAATACACGTTAAAGCAACCCCACTTACGAAGACGCTGCAGTTATAAGATTTATCAGCTGCTTCCTTGTGTGCCTTTATATCTGTGATGTGACCGCTAAGCTTCGTCCAGTAATTATGTCGTCCTTGAGGCGTACGTAACTGATCTCGCGATACTCGTTACGTAGTTTTATTATTTACTGAATCGAGAGTGGGGGCACACTGCAGTGCATTTTGTTGAGGCTCTGTGCTACAAGTCAGGAGGTCCCGTGTTCTATTCCCGATAAGTTCATTGGATTTTTCAATTGATCTATTACATCCAGCCCTCACTATGGCCCTGGAGTCGACTCATCCACTAGCACAAATGGCTACAGGAATCTTCCTGGCCGGGTTAAGGGCGACGGGAACATAAGACTGAAATTTGACCACCATCTGTGACCGGCTCTGTAGACTACTTGTCAGAGTTTCTGGATACAGATCCAGAGGTCCGGGTTAATTGCGGGAGGTACCAGATTTTCTGAGAAATAGTGGGTCTGGATCGGGTTCCATTCAGCCTCGTGAGGATAATTGAGGACCTATTTCAAGGTAATAGAGGCTCCAGTCTAGAAAACCGTGATAAACGGCCGTTGGGATCCGCTGCGCTGACCATGTGACACCCTCTCTCCGCAAAAGTTGGCACTAACTTCGCCGACATGCGGCGGCCGCTCGATCTGTATAGTTCGCTTGTGGACTAAAGGCCACGGAGGAAAGGAAAAAGTAATGACAGAAATAGTTACTAAACAGGGATCAGCTCGTGGACCAGAAACAGTCGCGAAAAATTCTGTGTAAGTGGAAGATCGTTTCCGTAACTTCTATAGTACGATATACGAGTACATACCGATCGGGCGGACTGCATGCTCGTACATGCACAAGGAACACGCGAACAAAATATTATTAAGTAGGACTCCACCCTATAAACTCTTTTTTATGCTCTTGTAGTATTTACAACGCACTGAAAACCCGATCTGAATTTACAACGCACTGAAAACCTGATCTAAATGTACAACGCACTGAAAACTCGATCTGAATTTACAACGCACTGAAAACCCGATTTGAATTTACAACGCACTGAAAACCTGATCTGAATGTACAACGCACTGAAAACCTGATCTGAATTTACAACGCACTGAAAACCTGATCTGAATGTACAACGCGCTGAAAACTCGATCTGAATTTGCGACGCACTGAAAACCCGATCTTAACCGAGTCCAATCGATTTTAATATAATCAGTTGTACAGAAAATTTCTGTTAATTGCCACTGCTTGTATTTTCCTAAAACACGTGATTTATATAGAATGAGATGGGCAGGGTATGTAGCACAAATGGAGTAGAAGAGGAATCCATGTATGATATTAGTGGGCGTAGGTGGGTGGACAATATAAAATGGATCTCAGAGAGATAGGATGGGATGGTATGAATTGGATTGATCTGGCTCAGGATGGGAACCAATGGAGGGCTATTGTGAACACGGTAATGAATCTTCGGGTTCCATAAAATGTTGGGAAAGTCTCGAGTAGCTGTGCAATTTGCGGTTTCTCAAGAAAGGCTCAGGTTCACGAGTGAGTACGTTATTTATATACCTATTTTTACATATTTGGTTTCCTATAGGTCAAATTTATATAGGCTGTATTTATATTTTTACGCATTCAAAATATTGTCACGTGGTGTGTGTGACTACAGACGGGGTTTGGATTGATCAGCGGATTTATTAACCACTTACAGGTCATAACTACAAATAACTGTAACGCTATTGCTATTTCCACACTTTGCGGTTCACTAGAGCACACAGTCTAGTATTCTTAGCCTGTTACTAGACGTTTCCTAGAAGCGGCTCCAACAATGGCTATTCTTCTGTCTCCGGCTGGAGTCCTCTCTTCACAGACTCAGGTACATAAATGACTCTCAACTCAAAGTAAAAGTCACATTGCGACTGACGGTGAGTCAGTCAGTATATCTTGGTGTCGAGCCCCATCTGGTGCTCATGGTCAGATATTTATTACTGTTTTACAGTTACGGTCTTGTTTTCTGTGGGCGCCCTTTATGACGAGAGGATGGGTCTGTCTTTCGTATATGCTGCTGGCCCTTGCCAGCTCAGTCTTTCTCGGGTTCGAGTCCCTATTTTAACATATTTTACTGTCTCAGATTTGATACTTCCATTTTCGTCGCCTCCTACGACTCCCAGGGTCACGGTGGGGATATTCGACCTCGCCTCCACACGGGTTTGGCCCTCAACTGACTTTTCCCTTACTTATAACACCTCGGTACTGACCACGTCGAAAACACAACTCCTCTATTGTTGCGGCCAACTTTTGCATTATTAGGAATCTTCTGTCCAGCAACGGGAACTCGTTTAGCGAGCTGTTGCTCAGAACCGGTCTGTTTTTACAGTGTCACCGCTTAGCACTGGGTCTGCAGTTACTATACTTAATGCTGATTAAAGCATGAGGAGGCACAGTTTATTGAGGATAAAATTCTTGGTAACGTCTTATCATTGACAGCGTTGGACGCAGATAGTTCAATGATGCCTGTGTTGTTTACTCTGTAGTGGAAATCCCCCTTCTGACCTTGTGCGTCCCCTACAAGGTTGCACTTCCTCCATGACTGTAATGAGAGACACGCAAGTTCCGTAATATCCATAATATAGTTTGTTAAGTACCCGTTCTTGCTTCGCACTTCCTTCTCCTCTGTCATGTCATGATCTGCATGTTTCTGATTCTTCTCATGCTGAGAGCTACGCAGTTGGCTGCACGTGCCGCCTCACACCATGCTGAAATGGAGACTGAAAGCAGGAGAGGAAATTTGCTGAAATTAGACTCATAAGATAACTATGTTGTCTGTATGTTTTCCCTATGGAATTCTGAGGCAGTTGTCCTGTTGCCACGAACTTTGATTCGAATGGTAATGTCACTGGATGCTCGTAGCGTGTGATTTCATTGAAGTGATAACAAAATGGCTGACGTATGGAAGTGGGGTCAGAGGCATTCGAAGCGTGAGATTGTTCATGTGGCGTAAGATACGGAAACAGAATGAACTTCCCTCAAGTCAAATACCCTTTTGTAGACTGCAATGCAACAAAATGGCGACATTGTGAAATTTTGTGTAGCTTTCAGTTTGACATCAATAGCTAATGGACCATTGGAGCTGAAAATGTGGAACCCTGTAGTAACATAATAAATTTGCCTGCAAATTCAATATTGAGTTCTGTTTAGAGGTAATCAGTTACAAATATGACGTTAGAGGTTATATTCAACAGATAATAATAATATCAACAATGACGGTGTTGATACTACTACTACTACTACTACTACTACTACTACTACTAATATTAATAATAAAGTTACTCATTTATTTACGTGCTGAGTTATCAGACCAATGTCTGCTTACAGGTTAAACACGACTAAAAAGTAGAAAGGCACACAGAAACAAACAAAAGACAAAACATATTAATTTATGTAACTTAAATTGATAATGATACCTATAGTAATTCAATTCAATTCTTTATTATTAATGTGCCGAGTCAACAGCCGTAAGGCCAATTACAGACACAGCTCAGTGCAGATGAATGAATTACATTATACACAAACTTATTAAAAGTCAAATACAAATTACAGGTAAGTACTTGGAAGAAATAATAATGAATAAAAGTAAAAGTAAACAAACAAATAACTGATAATTATAACAGTAATAATAATAACAGTAACAATAATAATAATTATTATTATTATTATTCAATTATTTGTTTATTTACTTACTGAACTCAACTGCAAAGTTCCAATTACATAGTTTGTATAAAGAACAAGAACAAAATCAAACACAAGGATAAAACAACCTTTGGAAAAGAAATGCTGTACCTGTTTCCTGACTGCATTAGCAGCAGAAGCACAGTGAAACTAAGGGCGCCTACTGCAGGAGCAACTGACAGAGACTGTTATAGTTCCCGCGTTATAAACCCGTGAAGACTAGTGCAGATAGACTGAAGAGACTAGCGTGGAGTAAGTGTCAGTTGTGTAAAGCAGTAACAGTGTTCTAAGTAATTGTAGTTACGACCTGTAAGTGGTTAATAAACCAAAGTACCAATCCGAACGGCGTCTTCAGTAGCCAAAGACGCTACAGAACGTAGAACATTTGCCTACATTCTGTTCAGAGAGCTTTTGGAAGAGACTGGACATACTTAACGTCATTATAAACATTTAATAAAAACAGAGCGTCCGAGTTACGACGTCTCATAAGTAGCGTCCGTAAATTTTATTTTTGCATCAAATTCTCGTAACCATACCGAATATTTCGAAAATAATCAGATGTGACAAAGGGCTACAATTTTTTTGACGTGTTCAATTTGGATAGTAGAAATTTTGTAGTACTGGTAGTAGTGGTGGTAGTAGTAGTAGTAGTAGTAGTAGTAGTAGTAGTAGTAGTAGTAGTAGTAGTAGTAATGTTGTTATACTTCTAACTACACTGCGTCACATCTCAGAAAGTATTAGTATCCATAGCTGTTGCCATAGAACTATCAGAGTCAAACAAAAACATTATTTCTTTCAATTTCAGTCCGACATTGGACTGGATCACAGTTTCCATAAATGCTGGATTGACACCAACGTTAGACTTGAAAGGATTAAGTAACAGGAGCGCAACTTTTCAAAAGAGTTTCATTATGAAACACACATACGAAATAGAAAATAGTGCATATCTGCAGCTGAACGCCCTTCAGTATAATTGTTGATGGCAAGCCGAATTGACACTTCCGGTTTTACTCCGAATACAGTTGTTGTAAGTATATTTACAATTCAAATTTCTCTTAAGCTTATATGCAGTCACTCTACACACCATTCCAGTCAACCGTGTGGAGGCGGGGTCGAATACCTCCACCGTGACCCTGCGAGTCGTAGGAGGCGACGAAAAGGGAAGTCTCAAATCTGAAACAGTAAAATATGGTCACGAGTCCCAAGGGACTCGGACCCGAGAAAGACTGCGCTGGCAAGAGCCGGCAGCACATATAAAAGAAAGACTCTTTCTCTCGTCAGAGACAAGACCGTAAATGTCAAAAAGTAATAACTATCTGGTCATGAGCCCCAGATGGGGCTCGACACCAAGACTTACTGACTGACCATCA